GCTAAAATGAGTGGCTCAAAAGGTTCAAACCTCCTGAAGAAAAGGGCTCGACTAGAAAAGGTGGCCGATCGACCAAAACAAATGGCCGGTCGACCAAAAACAGTGCCGGTCGGCCATCACTAATGGCCGATGGCAATAAAACAGGGCTGGTGGCCTCAAGCCATGGCCGGTGAGGTGTGGGGATGGCCAACAAGCCATTTCCTACCTTCAGAGGCAAAAAACCCAAGTGCATGGTCCACAACCAAGCACAAAACAGACAAGTCGAGAGGTCTTGAGGCAAGGCGCGCGGCCGAAACCTCCGAGAACTCAAGACGAACACGAACATAGATAATCATCGAGTGTTCAAACGATGACGTCCAAGTCTTGAGGACGGTCAAAAATGGGGTGTCTACAATGTGACGCAAGGAATTGTTTAAAAACCCTGTATGAATTTTTGGGGAGGCTAAGAGCCTTCATATAAATTCTACAAATGTGGGGGTGTCATGTAAAAGGTAACAATACATAAACCCAAGTGGGTACAATAAGCTTAAAAATCCATTGACTTTGTGTTCAACGACTATGCACAATATAGTAGTGCATATCGGGTTTCTTATGGACAAATCTGATATTCAAATTTATACAAGAATACCATCATAGAATTGAGAAAGTGGTTTTCATTAGAAAAGAGATGAGCCTAGAATATGTTAAAGGCTATGATTTTAAAGTTCTTTTGTCTAATCTTCTTAAATCTATATGGTAGCTAGTGAGTCTAAAAGCTTCTTTGAAGCTATGATTTCTCTAGAAAGAAATTATTAAATTAACTCGATCTTGCATAGGTAGTAAGCCTTGGGACGCAAGGGAATGAAAGCCGGTGAGACAAGTTTGTTATCAAAGGATACTGGCAAAGAGAAGGCTTGGATTACTTTGATACGTGATCACCAGTTATGGTGAGTGTGATCAAAATTGTGCGAAGTTTGGAGATACATCAAAATGGATGTTCAGATAGCTTTCTTATATGAAGATTTAGTTGAATAAATCTTTATGGAACAATTTGAAGGGTTTGTCGGTTCCAGGACTAGGAAAGTCTGTAAGCTTGGAAAATCATTATATGATTTGAAACAAGCACCGTAACACTGGTATGTGAAATTTGACAACACAATGTTGTCAAGTGAGTTTAAGTAAACATGTATATATTGACAATTGTGTGGATGTGAAAGACATTACAAAATAGATATGTCAGTTTGTGTCTATACATTTGGTAATTATGAGAAGATGTTTAGAACTACCAAGAAATTGTAAAACTTTAAGTTTGACATGAAAGATATGTGCCTTGGAGATATGATTCTGGGTATTAAGATTACCAGAACATCTGGTAGTATTGTACTTTCTCAGTCTTATTATGTTGATAAGATACTTGAGAAATTTAGTAAATCAGATACTAGTGTGTCGAAGACACTGGTAGACTTGAGTCTACGTTTGGCTGAAAATAATGATAAAAGTGTATTTCAACTAGAATATTCTTGGGTCATTAGCAGTTTAAAGTATTTGATAAGTTGTATAAGGCCGGGTATAGCCTACTTAGTTAGCAGGCTAAGTAGATATACGAGTAATCCTACTGCCTATATTTAGAAGGCATTTGTGCAAATACTAATGTAGTTGGGATTATGAGTTGCATAGCACTTGATATCTAGTTGTACTAGAAGTGTACAAAGGTGCCTACTGGATATCTAATATAAACACTACAAATCCATTAGTAAATATGTTTGCTCTAATTGGAGTTGTAACTGTGTCTTGGAGATCTACCAAGCAGATGTGTATCGGAATTCAGTGCTTTAGATAAAACTATTAAAGTAGCTGGATGGCTTTGTCATTTTCTTGAGGATATTCTATGTTGATCAAAACTTGTTCTAACAATTTTGTATATTTTGTGACAACCAATCAAGTATTGGTAGAACACAGAGTAATATGTATAATGGAACGTCTAAACATTTTCATCGAAGACATAATTCCATACAACAACTACTCTCTTGTGTTGTCACTATAGACTATATACAGTCTAAGGACAATATTACGGATCCATTAACCTAAGGGTTAAATTGAGAGTTAGTAAGAAGTCATTAAGAGGAACGGAGTTAAGAACTTTAGCGAATGTTATCAAAATGGAAAGCCTAACCTAGTTGACTAGAGATCCCAAGATCTAAGTTCAAAGGGACAACCTAATTACGTGTAATGGGTGAGTCACTGAAGAGGTAAATCCTCTTATCCATTTCTTTATACAGTGATACCCTGTGGGGTAGAAGGTTAAGCTGATGCTTTTAATAACCCAAGTGCTATGAATAGTCAACCGTGGTATACCTTATGTAGGTCACCTATTTGAGTGCAAAATGTGGTCGCTTCTTTAAGAATTAACAAGGCTAATTCTTCAAACACTCACTGAACCAGGCAGGTGTTCTAGGGCTAAACAAGACACAACAGTGAGAACAGAATGATGGTTGGAGTGACTTCTATGTGAGGTTTATTGTCTTGGTTTTCACAAACAACAGAATAGTTCAAGACATCACGTTCACTAGTCAGCTAGTAAATCAGATAGGTTTTCACTACGAAAGATTCAAGGCCAACAATTACCTTTTTTGATACAGGGTTATTTTGTGTGCTCTCTCTCTGAGTATTTGTTGTTAAGCATTGTCCGTTTACTTTATTCGGCCAATTTTATTCATATGGGGATTGTTGAAAAATAATAGTTTTTCGACAACTTTAATTCGAAATTAAATGAGACCCAACCGCCGATTGAGGTGGGTTTGAGTGGAATTATACTCTCTTAAGTAAGAAGATTGCAATATAAAAATAATAAGCCGAAACCATTAGGTTGTGAATGAGAATTGTCTCATAAAGTGGACATCGGTAAAAGTTGGGCTTAGATTTAGACTTAGTCTTAGTTTAGACTAGGCATAGCCTTGTATTTGTGTATGTGCTGGGTTTGGTCTTGGACTTCGACTTGGACTTAATCTTAAGCTTGAGCTGGGCTGTGTTGTGTTGGGCTTAGCTTGTGTATGTGTTTGAGATCGGGCTCAGATCGGGTTGTGACCCAACACCCGTATCCATTTTGCGACCCATTTGTTTGAATTATTCAAACATCATTATATACATATTTATTTGTATATATTAAGAACATGAATTTTTTATATTTTTGTAACTCTCATCTTTTGATGATGGAGTTGATGACCATATTAGTGGCCATTAGTTTTTAACCTTTGTAACTCTAGCCCTAATGGTTAGAGTTGATGGCCTTAGTTAATGGCAATTTGATGACCCTATTGATGTTAGCCTTCATCACTAAGGTTCTCCCTTACAAGTGTAAATAGAGGCTTTCCCCTCCAACTTAGTAGAATAATTTTGGAGAGAATTTTTTTATGGAAAATGAGATGGTGTTTTGAGATAATAAAGTTGGAGATGATTTTTATACCAAAGAAATTTTTTCTATCTTCTTTGTGCTTGCCCCTTCTTTGGTTCTTGTTAGAGACAGAGTGCTACCATTGTCAAGTTCGCCGAAGTTATTCAGAAGGTGCTTCTGTATGAGCTGGTTTTGACTATCTCATGCCTAACCATCGCACACAAGAGACAACCCTTTGGACCTATGGTGAACTAATATTGTACTCTAGGGCGGTTTAGTGAGAGCAAATGGTCAAGCAAGAAAGTGCCTACATCCTCACTTCGTTGACTAGTGAAGGGAGTGAACCCTTGGGGCTAACGTTGCCACTAGGATCGCTCATCTTACTCTAGGATAGCACTCTCTATGGAAAGATGAGTGATATCTTGGGAGACAGACACCGACGTACCTTCAACATCCATCGAGAGACAGTGAATCTGTTTTAAGAAAATTGTGATATCACATAGGCTTCGGTATGCGTATTTTATCCTTTGTTCTTCAAACTTTTAGATTTAAACTATTTATCGTATATTATTTTGTATGTCTATGTGAATCCGTCTTGTAATATGTTCCATGATGTAACATAATTCATTCCTGTATTTTTAGTTCTGTAGTTTATTTTGTATTTCATTATTTAATAAATAAAAAAATAATTGTTTTGTCATTTCTATTTAATTTAATTTTATATATTTTTCTAGTAATTATTATGGAAAAATATCAATAATAATTACATTTTAAAAGAAGGATCTAAAATTGATAATTTATATTCTAATGGTGGATAATTGACCTAGTACAAGAGTTTATGAGTTTAATTGTGACTTTTTGTAATTTAAATTTTGATGTAGGTGGTGAAATATTTTGTGGAGATTTTTGTTGGTGATAAAGAATTTTATTAATATTTTTTAATGAATTATTAAAAACTCCATTTAGTAGGCGTGAGGTAATAGCAAATATGGGTGTTGTATGTTTGAATGAATTACACATTCAGGGGAACGCCACTATAACTCATGATGACATCACCTGCCGAATAGAGTTTCTCTATGGTGAGCTTCAAGATAATGTTTTTAAAAATGTTGTCAAAAGTCTATGGTGGTGTTTTTAAAAGTGTAATGGTGCCATGTAATTGACACAATGCATAAACATCACAAGAGTCTTTTAGCCATGTTTTTTGTTGTTTTGGTGGCATTTGTGAAACACCGATAAAAGTCAAATTTTCTATAGTGTTGCCAACAACTTACTAAGCACTTGATTTGATCATATCAATAGGAATAAAACACAAAAATCAATCATGGAATTGAATTCATAATATGTATGGATGGATGTCAATTTTCGAATTTGAGTTCCACAAACAAATTCTATAAAATTTTATTTATTTGTATGTATAATATATTTCATTCTATATTTAATTTACGTGTTGGTAGCACTACTTAGACTACATGAAATGTGGGGTTTAATGGCGTTTATTTAACGGCATTTTTTTAAATATCACTTTTTCTAATACGTAACGACGTTCTATAAACGTGGCATTTTGTTTTAATTAAAACAGTATTGTTTAACTAATAGAAGTCGTTTAAAAACACCTTGAAATGTGTTGCAATGTTGTCCCTCTCTCTCTCTCTCTCTCTTTTTCTCTCTTCAAACCCTCATGTTGAATCTGAGAAACCCTTTAATCTCAAAGAAACCGATCCCTCAAATCTCTCACTCTCCCGTTCGCTCGCTCTCTCTCTCTAAACCCTTCAGTCTCAGAAATTACGATTCAACATTCATCTTGATTCAACCTTCTTCAGCGTGGTGATTCATCTAAGATCCAATCTCAGAGTGATTTCGATTTCAAATTTCTCTCTTTCTCTCTCGATTTTGAAATTCCACCGCCACCACTATCTATACTGTCTACTAAGGTGAGCACTACCATCTACAATCTCAGTTTCGTACTCTCTCTCTCTCTCTCTATCTCTCAAGCTCTTCCTTCCATTGATTCTTCTCCTAGGGTTTACAATCTTGAATCTCCTCCTAGTGTTTAGATCAATTCTCTTCTTGCCTGACTTGCCTCTTGCGATTTCAAGCAGTAAATTCTCTCTCTAATCTTGAATTGCCTTAATTTTCTAGATCTAAGTTTGAACAGTGAAGGAGACGCCCTAGATTGTTTTGTTTTTGTAGTTCTTATTGTTCCTTGAAGGCAAGATCATCCATAGCGCTACATTTAAACTTAGCTACGGTTATTGAGACTATATCAAATTTTTCCCCTCAAGAAGGTAAGACTTGAAGTTTGAAGCACCAATGTCTTAATGTTATCAAAATTTCTTATTCAAAAACATATGTTTCAGATCTAAGATTTTTCATTCAAAAATATGTTTGAGATTTGGAATTTCTTATTCAAAAATTCAAAAATATGTTTGAGATTTAAAATTTCTTATTCAAAACTATATGCTTCAGATATGAGATTCTCATTCAAAAATATTTGTTTGAGATTTGAAATTTCTCATTCAAAAATATAAAGTCTTTCCTCATTAAAAATTTTCATTCGAAGCAATGTCCTTTAGATATGAGATTTTCATTCGAAAATACATGTTTCAAATTTGAGATTTTTTATTTGTTTGAGATCTGAAGACACGCTGGGGATTTTTTTGGGTATAGCCTTCTTCCTGCTTAGGCTTTTGATTGTTGATTTTTGAGGGAATCATATTGCTTTTGCGTATATGAATGACATCCTTGACGAGGTCTGCAACTATGTTTTGGTTGTTTTCTTCTTCTTCTTTTTCTTCTTCTTCTCTCTTCTTTTTTTTTTCCTTCCCATCTTCTTCTGGTTATCAATTCATGCTATATTCATTGAAAAAGTGTAATAAATTATTGACAATCTATCCTTGAATGCTATTTTTTGGCATTTATTATATCAACTGTGTTTTATTCCAAAGCATTAATTCTTGACTCTGAAGAACACATGTCATCAATTAATAAATTGTGTTCTTCCCTGAATGGTTGTCTTGTGCTCTAGATTTCATTGCTAAGATAAATAAAATGTGGGCTCACACTTCTTCTTGCACTTAATTTAGCGAAAGCTTAGTTAATCAAATCTGTTGTACCTCTTTGTTAAGCTTGATCTAGATCTAAAGAAATTAGTTTTTATTTTTTATTTTTTTTATTTCCAAGTTTAAAAACTCTTATTGATCACATTCTCAGATCTAGATATTGGACTAGTGATGAGAAGGAATGGGTTGAACTATCGTAGATCAACTCCTTTACTGGTCTTGTAGTTTGGGACAAAGCAGGTAAAGATTTTGGCTTCCACTTTGCTTTTATTTGTGTTCTCTTTACAGTGTTTTTATCTAGATTTTTGTATTTCAATGTTGCTTTTAAGTATCTCAATTGGAACTTATTTAAGACTTTTGTTGCTTGAACTTAATCTTCATAACTGATAATTACCAGTGTGCTGGCATTGCAATAATTGAGTCACAACTTCTCTTTATACTTGTTTGTTCCAATGAGCCTGTGTTCTGCATCATTATGGTTGCTTGCATTGCAATAATTAAGATTTTTATGACTATTAATTTACATCTCTATTGTGGTTTCCTACTTTTAGTTCTTTACTATAGTTGGTGGTTTTGTCACTTTTAATGATTTGATTTTTTGATTTTTTATACAACGCCTATGAGTAAGGGTAAAAATCAATGATTGTAATGGGTTCACTTAGCTGCCAAAATGTATGCTTCTTAGTAAGTTAATTTGTATATGCTGCAATTAAATTGGTATTTTTCTTAAATTCTAGATCATAATAACAATATGACTCAAGCTATGGGCACTGGAATAAATTTGTAGATGGTTTTCTCGGCCCTCTAATAAATTTATTGTGAGATTAGATTTATTTTCTTTCTTCTATTTCCATTTTCATTTCTTGGGATCTTAGAACAGGTAATGAAGGCTGTAATTTTTTAACTTCCTATCTTAATTTCGAAATGTAATTTTTGGCAGATGAAGGATGCACTTTTTGCTTTGGCTTCTCTATCTCTGTCATATCAATTGCTTAAAGCAGAGGTGTGTTCATGGATATCCTTGCTTGTTTGCACATCTATTTTCATCAATTGCCAAGTTCTCCTCCATGGTAAAACTATCACATAAAGTCCTTATAGTTACTATGATTATAATTTATATCTCTAGCATGATCTTCTTACTGAAATTATATTGTTTGTACAGATCAGTGGTGAGGTTGATGAGCATTATCTCTATGCTGCTATTAAGGCAATTGACATGGATGCGTAAGTGCTTCTATCTCTATGTACCTTTGATTTTATTTTCCTTTTCACTTTTCAGTTTCAATGGTTCTTGTATTTTGTTCATCCTTCATCTCTCTCTCTCTCTCTCTTCTTCTTCTTCTTTCTATTTTAGACCTTATTTTTTAGAGGGTGAATTTGAAATGCTGCTGCCTTTCTTTTATAATGTGTAATATAGTGATGTATTTTGTTCATCTCTGAACTTCATCTAGGGTTTGATTTATATTTGACTGATCTGGATCTAGATCTTGATCTAGGGTTTTTATTCTATCAGGTATGGAGATGGTAGTTGGTAATATTGTTTGATTTGCATGTTTGAATATATTAGTTTTGTAATACATTGTTGAAAATACCATGCTATTCTATATCCTCATGCCAAAAAGGTTACCATTTAAAATTTTATTGTTATACTATGCATTTAGATTTTCTTCTCATCTGTTTAATTTTTAGAATACTGATGCCAAAAAGGTTACCATTTAACATTTTATTGTTATACTTTGCATCTAGATTTTCTTCTCCTTTGTTTAATTTTTAGAGTCTTTTTTTTCAATTTTTATTTTATTTTAATAGAATGTAAAAATAGTTTTTTTTTTCCCCAATGCATTCCCCTGAGATTTTGTAACCCACTTATTTCAAATATCTATAAAAGCTACTGTACATGTTCTAGTGTTGGAGAGAATACTCATGCTTTATAAAGTTTTGTTTGTTTGCTTGTTATATTAAATGTTGTTCTCTGAGATGATAGTTAGAACAAAAGATTGGATTGCAATAGGAGCATTTTTTAATGAATAGTCTAAGTTGGAGTCTTGTTTGTACAAGCGTCGATGAGTTTTGTGTGTGTATACCTATGTTTTGTCCAGCTTATAATTTATTAAGAATCTTTACCTTTTATATGTTCTATATTTCTTTTTATTTTGCATCACCTCAAGAATTCATGTTTGACATTTGTTTAATCAATTCGCTTATGAACTACACCAGGCTTTGGAAGAGGAGAAATGGGGATATTGGTGAAGCTTTGGTGTTCCAGCTTCCTTTCCTAAGAATCAGCATTCTAATTCATATTGGATGCCAAGGTGAGATACTATAGAATTGTCTTTTGGGTCTTGTAAAACTTGCATCTTTTAATTTTTTTTCCCCATAGATTGGTTTAACATTGAATTTCCTTTTTTTTTTATAAACAAAAAACCTTTATTAATAATAAGAACATAAATTCATATGAAATTACATCAACAAAGGGAGGGAAGAGCACAAGCATCATAGTAAACTAACCCAATTCCAATTAGGTTGGCACCGAGAAGAGAGCCTAATCATCTGCAAGCTCAACCGCAAGGTTTGGAGAGAGACCAAACCAAGGAAAAAACCACAAAAAATAAAACCCCAACAACCAAATAGGATACAAATCAAAACAAAACAATCCAACAATTGTCCTGTATACTCAAATAGACAGGCAGCTGCAAAACTCCCAAACCAGATCAAAACACCGACAGACAGCTTCACTCGATCCTTGCAGAACATCCTCAAACCAAAACCATCAGCAGCAACACTACAACATCAAACCATAGCACACACCATCAAATCTCCTTTACTTGATAAACACCATCTTACCTGTAACAGAATAGCCACACTGGCATGCACTGTGAAACTCACACCCTTAGCCAGTAGAATTAAAGGAAAAGAGCATCATACACCATCTACAGCAAACAAAACAGTAGATGCAAAAAAGACCAAAATCAGCAGCCCAATGCTCCACAACCCTCTCCTAACTGCACTCAACCACTAAATTACCCCTTATACACAAATAGTTTCCCAACACAGCTTCAGCAGCAACAATAGCTCCCCAACCAAAGGCAACAACTGAACCACCCCTTACAAGCACCTCCTAATCTAATTTAAATTGCACATAAAGTCATGCACAGAGTACTGCAAACCAGTCACACAACACTTGGCCCAGAAAGCTACCCTTAATTTTACAACTTCCTCCAAATCAGCTAAATTTACCTAACCACCATTGAAAACAATCTCATTCCTTAACTTCCAAACTGACCACAATAAAACCAAAGGCACAATCATCCACATACACATTACTTTCTTCATGAACCTAGCACCAGCCCACCAACGCAGCAGAGCTTCAACCGAACCCGGAATTACCCAACAAACATCCCACCAATTCAATATACCAGCCCACACTTTCCAAACTAGTGGGTAGTGGAGAAGAACATGATTGACCGTTTCCTCTTCATTTTTGCAGAAAACACACAAAATGCTAGCATTGGCAGACAACACCCCAATCCGATAAAGAAAAACTGCTATTTTAACTCTACCCCACCAAGCTAACCAACCAAAAAGCTGTAATTTTGGAGGTACATCAACTTGTCATAACCATTTGGTAATGCACAAATCAGGACCCCTAGCTGCTTGTAGCCACACCCAAACTGATGACACTGTGAATTGATTCGATGTGTTCAATTCCCACGACAGATAGTCATCCAAATGTACATAATTGCTAGGTGTAGACACCCCATTTTTGACCGACTTTAAGACTCAGACATCATCGATTGAGCGCTCGGTGATAGTGCATGTTGTGCTCGTTTCGAGTTTCCAGAGTTTTCGACGGAGTGCCTTGCCTCCGAGCTTCTGAACTCTTTGTGTTTTGGCACGGTTTGTGGACCGAACCTTGTTTTCTCTTTCCTGGAGGGAGTGAGAGGTCTTGTAGACCATCCTTTTGTGGTTGTAGACCACTTTTTGCTGTCGTAGACCACTTTTCCCGCTTGGAGACTAGTTTCCGGTTTCCGAAGTCTTCGGCTGCACGCTTTGTCTCAAGACCGCTTAACGTTCTCCGTTTGGCTTGGTTTTCGAACCATGCCTTGTTGCCTTGGCCTAGAGGGCCACTGTGGTCTGGGAGACCACTTTTGGTGCCTGTAGACTAGCTTTTGAGGCTCTCGGCTGTGCGCCTTGCTGCCCAGACTCTTGTCTTGCATCCTTTTTGGTTTGTTTTTGGTACAAACCATGTTTTCCTTGTTTGGAAGGTGGTATAAGGGTGGAAGACCAGTTCTTCCCCTTGGAGACCACTTTCCTTCCTGCCAGCCAGTTTTTTGGTCGGCCAACTGGTTTTCTTGGTCTTTGGACCACCTTTTCTGGTCGGCCACCATACCACTGCCTTGCTTTCATGTTACAGACCATCTCCCCCCATGGCCGGCCACTTTCTTCCTTGGCCGGCCACTTCCACTGGTCGGCCGACCAGTGTAAGTAGCTGGCCGACCACTTCAAGTCGTCGGCAGCTTTCCATCACCTTTTTGGAGATATTTTCTAGCCAGCTGTTATAGTTAGAGGGCACAGAAGCCATCCTCCATACACGTGTATGGAGGGATGGCTTTAGGCCTAAAGCCTGTCCAACAAGCTTGTTGCATATTTTTCTATATAAGGGAGCCTTCTCCCTCATGCCTTAGGTTCAGAAAATTGTGCTTGAGCTATACATACATCCTTGTCTCTATATCTTCTTGCTTGCTCTATATTTGTGCTTGAAAGTGTAGTTTTTCCATACTATTGCACACAAACACACACTCAAACACCATACTCTTGTTGCTGAGGCTCTTTGAGGTTGGTTTTCGAGTCTTTGGATTGGTTTTGGTTCAAAAAGAGTGTTGGAGTTGCAGCTTTGAAGGTATTCTTCAAGGGTAAGTTTCTAACCCTTTAAACCTTGGCTTTGGTTTAAGCTTTTGGACCTATTTTCATGCTTATTTTGGCTTGACTTTCTATTGCAAAAAGGTCTGGTTTTGCATGCTTGTAATGTTTGTTTAAGGTCTCTTTTGTGTTGGGGGTAGTCTACCCCCCTTTAGGCCTTGTTTGACCTTGTTTTTGTGCCATCCTTTTAAGCTATTGGGGCCACCTTGTTTTGGCCTTCTCACCACTGAAACTCAGAGAAATTTCAGTGGCGAAAATGGTGTTTTGAGGTCTCAAATAGGAGAGGGTCATCCATTCTCCTTGTGTTTTGTATGCTTGCTTTGTATGCCTCATGTTTGAGCATGTTTGTTAAGCTTATGTTGGCTCCATCTTAGCATGTATTTGGGGTTATTTTGACATGGCATACCATTGTTTTGATTTCGTTTTGTCATCCCTTGCATGCCTTATACACTTGTAGTGTAAATCTTGCAAACTAGCTTTGTGTGCTTCATGAAGTAGCATGTCTTTCTAACTTGTTTTTTGAGTCCATCTCTGCATGTTCCTGGTGTTGTTTTGTCATGATATACCTCTGTTAAGGTTTGGTGTGATAACCCCATGCATGCTTCATGCACTTGTAGTGCAATTCCATGAACTAGCCTAATCTGTATCATGCTTTAGGCCATCATTCTAACATGATTTTGGCTTAACTCTAAGAAGCTCTTGTCCATGTTTTTGCATGCTCTAGCTTTGATTTATGTTGTTTTGGTCATGCATGCATTGCTTTGTATAGCTATAGTACATTCTAGCTTGTTAGCTTTGTGTGTTGAGTCCACTAGCATGCATTACTTGGGCTATTTGAATGATTTGGCATCATTTGTTATGCGATTTCAGTGCATGCTTCATCTTCATGCATTCACATCTTTCACTCTTTTGATGGTTTGGAGGGTTGGTCCTTTATGCCTAGGAATGAGTCATTGCGTATGCCTTCATGCCTAAGCTTGTGAGCTATCATTTCAGTGTGTTTTTGGGGTTATTTTGCCATGATATAACTCTGATTTTTGTTGGTTAAGTCATCTCATGCTTGGTCTTGATAGGTGTAGTGTAATCCTTCCTTTTGGCCTTGTATGCACCATGCCTTATGCCCTTCATGCTAGCTTGTTTTGGCTTCCTTACATACATGTTTTAGACTCATTTTGACATGCTCTAAGACTGTTTTGGGTTGTATTGGCCATATGCTTCATGTATTGCATAGTTGTAGTGCAATTGGCCTTGCTAGCGTTGAGTTTTGAGCACCATAGCATGCTTCATTTGTGTTGTTTGGATGATTTGGCATCATTTAATATGACATTTTAGAGCATATAGAATTGCCATGTTCTTACTTCTTTCACTCTTTAAGTGCCTTTGAGTGTTATGCATTGTTGCCTTGTTTGTGGCCTAGCATGTATGCCATCTTGCCTAGGTCCTTGAGCTCCCATCTCAGCATGCTTTGGTCTTTGTTTTGACTTATTTGAGCTCTGTTTGTGGCTGGTTCATGCTTTTGTGCCATGTATTGCATGTCCCTAGAGTAGTCCTCTTTGCTAGCTTTAATGCTTAAGGCCCCTTGCATGCTTTGCTTGTGTTGTTTGAATGATTTGGCATCATTTCATACTTTATTTCAGTATATATAGTGCTATTACACTTCCATATTTATCACTCCTTGAGCAATCTTGAGGGTTGTGCTCTTAGGCCTAGTTGATAGGCCAATGCATGTGCATGCTTGTATATGTTTTTTGTGCCTTCATTTCTTAGCATTATGGCCACTGATTTGGGTAGGGCTGAGGTTTGTCCACATTCGGTTTAAGTCCATTTAGCATGTTTGTTTGCATGTTTGTTTGCATGATTGTTTGCATGCTTAAGTTACATTGCATTATGTATGCCATGTTGTTGATTGCATTGTGCATGCCATGTTACATTGCATTGAGTATGGCATGTTGTTCTTTGCATTGTGTATGCCATGTTGCATTGCATTGAGTGCATGCCATTTGCATTGTGTGTGCATGCCTCACATTGCGTTTAGAATGATTGAGTTGCATTGCATGTTTGCATGCTTGAGTTGCATTGCATTTGTTTGGATTAGGTGTTAGTCCAAACACGAGGAACGAGGGACGTTTCATACTTGAAGTGATGAAACGTGCCTGAATTCTCGGTCGCCGACCCTCTTGATCATACATGATAGAGGTCAAGGCTATATGTGTTATGTGTGCATTCATTTCACATTGATTCGTGCAATCTTGGCTTCTCGGCTATCATGCATCGAGATACGCGATTGGTGGCCCGAGGGTCGAGAACTACACTTCCTTGAGATCATGAAATGATAGGGAGAGTGGTTGTGCACACATACGTTGCAAATACATTGCCATGCCCCTTCTTGTTC